TATGATTACCTGTATCAGAGTTGTGGTTTAGTGTTTGAGAATGATGTCTATGAATTATAAATCGAACAAGACAGGATTCAGTTTACATCTCCATGTGTATTTTCTGTAATTAGGTGTGGAGTAAACAGAAAGTTTTTAAGAAACAACCCATTTGGTGGCTATGTTTACAATGTGTACTTTAATACATATTTTTATAAACTACTTATGCTTGAGGTTTACTCTTTTTGTAGGAATACTGTTCAGTGTTTGATTAGTTTTGCCTGATTATTTTTGAGAATCTTTTTAGATAGAATCATTTTAATGAAACAAAAGTCAAAACTTTTATCAGTAGTAAAATGGTAACAGTAAAGGGTGATCAAATGGGTTGATCAGACGTTATAAGACATTTAGCTCTAAATGTATTTAATAAGTTCCTTTTGTTCTGTCCGTCTCATTCAGACGACAAGAAGGACATAGACCATGAAGAACAAATCGCAGGAGAGAACTCACCTCCAGATTATTCAGAGTACATGACCGGGAAGAAGCTTCCTCCAGGAGGCATCCCAGGCATCGACCTGTCAGACCCCAAACAGCTGGCAGAGTTTGCACGGTACGTGGTAAAACTGACGATTATGTTCCCTCAAGGCAAATTCACTGGACTGTAATGATGATACCAATGATAATAATAATAATAGCAAGTGTATTCATACAAAAGTTTTATTAACAGAAAATAGGACATATTGAGAGAAGGAGTTGAAAACTGAGGTTTTACAAAGTGATTTAAATTAATGTTAATCAAATCAGTTTTTCAGGAATGTTGACAATTGTCTCAATCATCATCCATAACATTGTCATGTTTACGTCTTTTGCAGAATGAAGCCAAGAAAAGTAAAAGAAGACGATGCACCCAGGACGATAGCTTGTCCACACAAAGTGAGTGCACTGTTGTGTTTGTTATATATGGTGTTGAAAAACTAAATTTTAAATAGACAAACAGCATCGCACACCGTTGTATGTATTTATTATTGATTACTATATTGAGAACATGCAGTATTTATTCATTGGTATAAGGAGCATATCAGCCTTCTACACTGACATGAGCACCTGTCAGGTGAACACGTCCGGAGGGATACATTCTATCTGTTTTATCCCCCTCTCAGGGATGTACCAAGATGTTCAGGGACAACTCAGCGATGAGGAAGCACTTGCATACCCACGGGCCTCGCGTACACGTCTGTGCCGAATGTGGCAAAGCCTTTGTGGAAAGTTCAAAACTGAAGAGGCATCAACTTGTTCACACGGGAGAGAAACCTTTCCAGGTCAGTTCTTTCAATTTTTGTATGCAAGTTAAGCTGCTTGTGCTGTTATAAAAAATCTTGTTATAACCATCTCAAATACAGCATACAATTGAAAAGTGATACCAGTTTCTCTGTGATCAAAGCTGAGACACAACAGCGTTAACTTTGTCTCTCCCTCTCGTCTCTAGTGCACATTTGAGGGCTGTGGCAAACGCTTCTCTCTGGACTTTAACTTGCGCACACATGTGCGTATTCACACTGGAGATCGGCCGTACGTGTGCCCTTTTGACGGCTGCAACAAAAAATTTGCCCAGTCAACCAACCTGAAGTCTCACATCCTCACACACGCCAAAGCCAAAAACAACCAGTGAACTAGGCTGACGACGACAGCGTGAGCACACACCAGAGGATCTGACCTGCAACTCTGCTCCTTGACAGACTGACTAATGTCCCGTGGCCTGCTTTATGACATAAGAAGTCCCCTTTGTATCGTCCCTAGATAAAGGTTTGAACCGAGAAATGACCTTTTCTCAAACTTTTTGATATACACGTGGAGGGTTTGAACAAGGAAATTGTGAGAATCCCAACTCCCTCAGGCCTCCTGCTCAACCATGGCGCTACCTGGATGGAAGAATTTATGGTTTTCTTCTTGTGAAGATGTTAATTCATGGATCTGCACCTAAAAACTTATTTATACCTTAACACAACAAGATAAAAAGGTTTTTGCAATACAAATCAAATTTGCATCGATCCTTAGCAACGACACCTTTTCAATTTTGTACTTCTCCCTGAGTGTGCATATTGTACACTGTTTGACATAAGCTCCGTGGTAACGTGTGTAGTAAGATTGTCCCGGTTTGTTTTACCTGCCCCTTTTCCCTTTATGTGAGTGTGTTTCAAGGGTGGACTGGGTGGTCTTTGCATATTTTCGTTTTGTACGCAATATCAGAATCATGTAGATAATAGCCATGTAATTTTCAATAGTCATCACTGATTAAAAATGTTTTTTCCCCTTGCACTACAAATACAAAAAGCCTTATTTGTCCTGTCACAACCATAGACTGTATATAGGTCACAATTGAATCTCAGACATATTCATAAATTGTTCATAATATTTACTATTTTAATAACTGCAGTCTAGAGACAGCCTGGAGTGTTTGAAGGAACTGTGGTAAGGATATTGGAATAAGGTATGTTTTTCCTTTTCAAAAAGGCTACAAACTATTTATACAATACGAATTTAACATTTTAAACAAACAGCCAATAAAGTCTGATCTGATTTACAGTTAAATGTTGACAGAATGTGTTTCCCCACCACTTTACTTTGCATTTCCTCTTTTTGTTAATGGAAAACAAATCAAGGAAGCAGAAACATATTCTCAAATCTTTATTTCTTCAGTGTACTGCAAATATACAGTTGACATTTTTTAAAACAAGTTTAGCAGCTTCAAAGTGACATCTTGCATCTGTCTGGATGAATTTTAACACATTGTCACTTTAATTATTTCTAGAAATTGGAGGGAACATCAGAACTTGCATTGAAATGTTTTCTTTTAAATTTAATAATTTAATTTCTGTTTAACATTCTTCAGGCCTCTGGTAGAAAAACTCCAGCATCCAGATCAGTTTTCACTTAACTCAGGCTCAACTGACATTTACAAGAGATAAATCTACTTTAATAAATTCCTTTATTCTCAAATAAGAGTGCAGTCAGTCTCCCACATTAAATACATCTGATTTCAGGATTAAAAGATTTTTTTAAATGAGTGCAACAATGCTGGTGGTCAGAACTGCTGAATCATTAGAACCCACGTGTTGTATACAAGTGAAAGTAAAATCAAGTTTTAAAAAGGTCCTGTAAGTCCTAACATGAAGTACGTTCCCTTAACAGTGCAAATACAAAATTTACTGTTTTAGAATTACATGCAGAGCTAATAATTTTGTGAAATGACATTTGAAACTGGCTTATCCCTGCAGAGTAACATGGCAAAACAGAAGTTACATGAACTAAAAACCAAATCTGTGTCTATTTATATGAAAAATCTTTGCACCCGTTATATATAGATTTGATTGACATAGAACAAACACTTAATCTAAAAAAAAAAAAAACTTAATTTACAGGAAACTGATGTGTGTATTTCAGTTTAATCATCATTTATTTAGGCTTTATGTATGGTGCCCAGCAGAAAACCTATTGCTGTGAATTTAGTAGCATGAATTTAAAGCCTAAGATTGTTGTGAACAAGCATCTGCCTGCAGGTTTGTTTCACTGAGAAATCTGGGTCAGTTAAAATACACTCAACCGCAGAAACTGCAGTGAAGCATTAAAAAAACTAAACACCATCCCTGACCTAAAAATGTCCAAGGCAACAGCTTTAAGCCTTTTAAGGAAAATGAATACATTGATGCAGGAGTTGTGAATCCTTAATTTGATAGAAGTGATTATTAAAAAAAAAAATCAACCTTAAGGGGGAAAAATGACAAAAAAGGCAAAAGTCCAAAGCGATGGGCGTACTTTCCCTCCGTTACACCCTGCAATCTTTGGCATCAGGCACCTGGTCAAGAGTCTGGATGTGAGTTCAGTACCTGCTCTCATGAACTGCTCACTCAGCCAGCAGGGCAGCCAGCAGTTCAGGGTAGTTTGGCGTCCCCCAGCCTGTAACAGGGTCCCACGACGGAGCAGCACAGAAACCTTGCCCCTGAACTTGCTCATCCAGACAGCTCAGGTGACAGCCTTCAGTCACCTGGCGATAAGACAGCAAAACATGTAGAGACCAAAACATGAGCAAAAAATGTGCTGCAAGAAAGGTTTTCATCATTTAAACAAAATGCCTCACTGAATAAGATAAATCAAGACATGCTTAACTTCAGAAACATATACGGAAATGAGCGGAGCATTTTGTTCGTACGCTGTGTTCATTTAGTCCGACTTGTGCAAGTCTTCTGAAAGCTTAGAAATATGGACGAAACATACCGAATGTGTTTGTGTTTGTGTGCAATTCCAATGAGTCGACTGGAATTTCAACAATGTCTTAACTTTTTGAGGAGAGACTTTTGCGAGTTGGTAAGAAATGACAGGCATCTGATGTAACTTAGGGCTCAGAGAAAAACCTTTGCCTTTTTTTGTTTTTAAGAAGAACATTATCACAACCTCCTCCACGGTCAACATGCTTGTTGTTGTCAGAATCTCTCTGCCAACATAAAGGATGAATAGAAGTATGTGGGCAGTTGCTTTGTTTGAAAATGTATCCCCTTGCACAAAGAGGCTGCAAAATAAGGCAGATCTCACTGTGGGGACATTTTCTGTAGCCACGTTAATGAAAAACATAAACTGTGTTCATGTTTTTCATGTATAATGAGAATATATTTATATATATATATATATTTATATATATATTTACATATATAAATATACACACACTTTACTACAGTAATAACTTACATCGAAAAGGGCCTGTCCCTTGAGCTTGTAGAGGCGAGGGTTGAGGAAGCCCAGGACAGGCAGGCCCTTCAGCAGTCGCTGATCATTGATGAGAGACAACATACCTCCGACCACCGGGGTCGACGCCTGGAGGAGCGATCAACACATGAGAGACGTGAACAAGCTATGGACACAGCATAGTTACGGCTGTACACATTGAACCTCTCTGTCAATTCTCTGTTCTGTAACAGTGTGATGTGTTTTTACCGAGGTGCCAGACACCCAGGGGACAGGCACTCTGTTGATGACCACCCAGTAATTATCAGACAGGGCAGCCATGTCTGGATAGGCCCTGCCGCTGATGTTGTAGTATAAAGGAGGAGGAAGGGTTGCTGCTGCAGTCTTTAGATACCCCTCCACTGCACTGACCTGTGGGAACACAAATACACAACATAAACCACACAGCCTGTAAGAGCATAGCATTAAAAAAGCTAGTGATTTAGTACCTGGTAGTCAGGCATCTTGAAGACGTTGCTGAAGCCTCCTCCACTGATGTAATCTGTGACTTCATATGAGAGCTTGAATGGGTTCTTGAATGAGGTTCCTCCAACTGTAGTAACATACGGGCTGAGAACAAGAAACAGGATTGGAAGCATTTTTATAAACATTTTCAAGGCTACATTTTTGTCCAGTTTTTCATTTTCTTAAACTTCATATTTTATGTATTTGTAGATTCTGATATGAATAATAAAAAAAGAAAGTAGACCAGGTCGAGTTCTAGTTGATGAGATTTACCTTGAGGCTGGGAAACTGGGCCTGAAGGAGTTTTGGTCTCCCAAATGTTTACAGCCAGCACCACTGTCACCTGAACGTGAAACAAGGTGGTGCAACATGAATTCATATTCATCTTATTGTGTTTGATTTCTGTTGTTAGTTATGGCAAAGAGTAAGACGACGCCATCATGGGAGGGAGAGGATGAGAAAGTAATATAATGACAAAGCCACAGAAAGGAAACACTTCCCAAAAGGACCAAGGCCATTTCACTTTTGTAACATCAGCTGCCTTTACAGCTTAAGTTCCTCATATTTTGGAACAGTGTCTCGTACCAGTGAACACAGGAACCGGTTCGTCAATGATCTGATCATATGGATTAAAAACAAAACCAGACAGTTTACAGTCTACTAATGAAGCTGCATTTAAATACACTAGATCTGGATTTTTAATTTGGATCTGCACCAAATTGCTCACACTCATGAATATCAGCCTCATAAATATACATGAAATATACCCAGCAAACAAACCAATCAACAAATGCAGGGGTGCAAACATATCTCCTTGGCGGAGGAAACTAGAAACAACAACCGATGTAAGATGAGTGACAAAATGACACAATTAGATTTTTACTCTTTACAGCCACAAATCACTGACCTGAAGCAAAGAGCAGAGAGATCCCCCTGACACCAGCCTTCATGAACTCTGTGTTGATGCGCATCATGTAGGCAGTAGACAGGCTGTCTTCATCATCACCATAGCTGATTGTGTGAACCCAGGGCAGACCAGACATGTTGCTGAGCAGGACCATCCACTGGAGGAACGGCTCCTGAGACTCATGACGGCCTGAGGGAGGATGAGTAAATACTGATATTTCACTTCTGTGTGAAAATGGGACAAGATGCACACGCAGCCTCTCCTACACACCTGGGTTGGTGAAGACCCACGTGGAGATGTTCGCCCCCGTGCTCATGATGTACTCTACATCCAGACTGGCCTCTATGCCGGCCTTGCCTCTTCCTTGGGTGCCTACAACTCGATCCACGTGAGACAGATGCTGGAAGCCTCTTCCAAACACGCTCATGAACTCAGTCAGGTCTGCAGGGTGATAATACTGCTCCAAGAACTAACAGAGACAAACATGAAATACCAAAGTGAGACAGTTGTTGTGAGCTTTATATGTCTGGACCAATTCGTGCATGTTTAACACTCGAGCAGAGGATGAGCAGGACATACCTGAGCCACAGCCTGGCTGTTGTTCTGACCTGTTCCCACATCAGCTGCTGTGAGGTTATAGCAAGCTCTCAAGATGGCAGGAGTAACTCCCAGGTGGACCCCTCCCACAGACGGCCGTTTACTGAGGTCCTGTCCTTTGGGAGGGAGGCGATGAAGCCCTCCAACTGTGGAAAGGAAAAGAAGTCAGTCCATCCAGTGACGTTTGCTCTCAATAATAGCATCTTCTCATCTAAATATACAAAGATTCTAGATTACACACAAATGTTTTACAGTTGAAGAAATGCTCCTCACCAAAGTCAAGGTGCTGGTGAATATCATCGTGAACAGAGTACGGAGCCGACGACCTCACAAGAGATTGTCCTTTTCTGACGTAACGATGGAACCTGCTTCCTGGAAGCAAAGTCTCTGCAACTCTAAATACACCAACCACATGAAAACTATTATTATTTACTATTCACTCCTACAACATGCACACGTACACAACAAGTGAGCCCATGTGAGAATACATCAGACAGAAGATGCCGACAAAGATGTCAACTTGGAAGACAACAAGATTTAAGAGCTTTTGGTGAATTAGGCCAATCACCTGTTTAAATGTGCTGTAGAAGAAAAACATGTCATCTCTGCAGCAGAATGTATAAGTCATGTGCTGCCTCCTGCATGCTCTACCCAGACGCCACCCCTTGTCTGAAAATCTCCAGGAAAACGCTGGAGATTTTCCTGTCGCTGTGAAAACACCTGACCCAAATATTCTCCTGCTGTGTTCTTCATATGTGAGAATGCTCCAGAAAATGTCCAGACCTGAATGTGCAGACATCCTGGTGTCGAAACATTGCTTTGGTTTAGGGTCAGAATTGCAAAAGTCTGAAGCACAAACTTATTTTGATTTCAACCATGAAACCACAGAAAGAGGAAGAACCTCAGGAGAAGAGCACGGCCTCTGCATGATTCACACACAGAGAGTGCAGAAGCAGAAAAGCCTTTTTGTCTTGTAACTGTGTCAAGAGCAAGTGAAACATATTGTTAGGTAAGCAGAAGAAAAGATGCTTACTCTGCAGTCATCGTGCACTGCAAAAAATCCTGAGTTCTAACAGTCAGGCAGTTTGTAATCCCATGACTCTGCAGCCAGTGACGCACCACCTTGTGGGTCACTTCAGACGGACGCACGAGGGACGCGACTTCCTCCAGGGTGAGGTATTTACCTGTGGAGTTCAGAGAAGAAACTGTCAGAAAAGAAGGCAAAGCTCAAAGTTGTCTTTTTAGTTAATAGCAGTTAAGATCACATTCATGTGATTTGCAGAATATTTTAAACAAAACAGACGTAGAAATAAGTAGATTTGAAAATTCATGCAGATTTGATCTTTTAGTAACTTCAGGTCACCCTACCATACTGAGCCGAGTCAGGGTCTGACACCAGTCGGAGTTTTTCCTCCAGCAGATGAACGTTCTGCTGCTTCAGGGCAAAGGTCAGCTCCAGCTGCTCGGCAGGATCAACCCGACCGGCATGACTCCAGTCCTCTGGTATCCTGAAGAAAGAGGAAAAACATTTCATGATCTTTCACTCAGAGCAGCACCCATGTTTCTCAACAGTGTCACAACAATTGTCTGTCTTCTGATTAGATACAGCAGCTGGCCAACCTGTTGAACTTTCAGCAGACAATCACTTTGTTGAGATTCTACAATGAAATGAGGCTTCATGCAGATTTTTCAATTAAATGGATCATACAGCTTTAGTTCACACATTTGCTATTCGCCAACACATGTGCCAGTCCTACAGTAAGTGCTTAAAGTTTATTTATCCAACAGTTTCATAATGGTTTTATCTTGTCCTTCAGTAAATACTATTTACAATTGTTTTGGTCTGACATTTAGGTGGCTGTGGCTCAGGGGGTACAGTGGGTCTGTCTGCTAACCAGAACGTTGTCAGTTCAATCCCCTTTCCCTTAGACAAGAGAGTGTGTGTGATAGAGAAAGCTCTGCACATAGATGCACAGTATAAATGTGTGTATGGCAAAACGGCTGTAGTTGTCATCAAGATTAGAAAAGACCATTTACCATTTCATTTATTCTGTCATTCAGTTAATGCTATTGACAGGGTTTTTATTCTATCATTCAGTTAACGGTATTAAAAAAACGCTTTCTCCTTCATATTGACCCACATTGTACTTTTGTGCTGTGAAGACAGAGTATCTAAAAACAAAGAAAGTGAATGGATATGAATCACTACATGACACAGACATAAGAAAGTTAGTTTGCTCACAGGACATCTTGGTCATATTCCAGATATCCACACCGGACCAGGGAGATGAATAACCAGGGGATGGACAGAGTCAAACTGCTGGAAGGAAAAACAACATGTTAGTGGAAGAAAAAGCTTCACAAACCGGAAACACACGTCAAAACACGAGTGTGGTTTTCTTACTGCACAACAACAGACAGTTGGTCTCAGCCACAGCAGCTTTAGGTTGTGTGAACACTGTAACCTGCCATGTTAGCATCAGCAGCTAGTTCTGATCTAGGTCATCACAAACTGAGACAACACAACGGAAGCTACGTTAACAGAGGGAAACGCTTCCTGGCTTCCTTTTATTCCCCGAGTGTGTCCGGAGGAAACGACCAGGACAAATAAACAGTGTTTGAAACCATCACTCACATCGTGTTCATCGTGTCCTCCGCTGCCGCTGAGCTCAGCTGCTGTGTCTCTGCCGCACACACGCCTGAGGACGCAGCGGTCATGTGACACGTCGTCACGTGATCTCTGTTTTTCAACACGAGCCAAATATAACTTTATGTAAATTGTCTATGTAAGTCACATTTTATTATTTTAATGTAAAAGATATACACGTTTTTATACAGAATACAAATATACCATGTTTACATTTGGCTTCTTTAAATTTACAAAGCATCAATGAATAAAAATTTAAAAGATTAATATTACATCTGAGAGTATGTTATTTAAATACGTTTAAGATCTTTCTCTGGTCAAACCCAATATATTTTATAAAATACTCAACCTAAATCTTTTATCTCTGGAAAGAAATCCACAGTGAAATTCAAAATGATCTTGCAGCGAGTTTAATTTAAAGATCCTCCTGGGTCGTATAAGTATGGAGTTGTGTTCATTCTTTGAAGTTTTTAATTTGTGATATAAATTTGGATTCTCATCCCAATTCTACTGAAACATGACCAACAACAAATGCTCCTGGTTCGATCCAGTACAAATCCAATTTGTGCATCATAGAGAGAGACATCGTCTAAATGACATCCATGGTAGATTCAGGAAAGACCCTCCTCATCCTCCCACCTTGACAGATGGGTTCAACAAACCTCTCAGACCACTGCACTTCTGTATTAGGCATCTGGCAACAGCAAGTTCTGAATGTTGTCCAGAGATTTGGGTTAAAGTGTGAAACCACAATCAGCAGTAGCACAGCTGGGGAGCATGGTAACAAAGTGATAGAGAAATAAGAAGAAAATTACAAGTATGTTGCACAAATTTTTTTATTCAATCATATTTCAGATGTTTTGGTTAAATACAACAAATTCTTCAGGTCTTTAAAAGTCCTTCAATTTTAACAGTAATTCAATTTTAGTTTGAGAGGTCACAAGCTGAAAAGGTTGTGAACCACTTACACAATGTTTTCTTCTGTTTAATATACACAAATAAACCATAAGCTAAAAATTAAAGAATGTTTATTAAAGGAATAATTACATGACTGTTGGTGCTCAGACGTTAAACAACATATTTACAGTTTAAGAAACATTAATCCCTCCCCCACCCGTTTCATGTGAAAGACAGAAGAGCAAAACTGAAACTTTTTACTGTTCACAACTGATCCACTGGTTTTAATTTAACGATATGATGCATCAGCTCAGACTCCGATCAGTTGCTGTCTGAGAAATAATAGTCCTCTTCCTCACCGCTTTCAGGCGGCGCCACGTCGTTTCCTGGGAACATTTCCCAAACGACAAAGGTGTCATTTTCTGGTAAAAAAGAAAATGAAGGAATTATTTTAAGCAACAAGACTTGTGTTACAATAGAGGTGTAGTAAAAACTGATTTCAGTTAAAGCCTCTGGTATGTGTTCTACTAATTTCTAAAAGTAGTGATCAAAAAGATACAAGTTCAAATCCTCTACCAGTCAATATCAATTCAGAATTACAAACTTCAAACTGGTATTTGCTAAAAGAGCCATTGTTTTTGAATTGTAATGTGTTTCTATTAGTTCGGCCTCCCATCAGTGTAAGGTAAATTAATTAAATTTCTAAAGTTCATAACACCAGTGTAAACTCTGTGTAAAACCTACCTGTGTTACCACATCGTCTCATTGTTCGTTTCATTGATGGCTTGGGTGTGAAGTTCTGAAAGAAACAGAACAATGAATGAATGTTTTCCAATACAACACCATAACCCGTGTGTTTCCAGAGAAGAATCTCAGACGTGAACCTGTGTGAATTAGTACCTTTGAAGTTTGAGCCTGTTTGCAGACATTGAACTGATTTTTCTTCATCCTCTTCTGAAGCTGATAAACGTATTTGTCATCATTTTCTCTTAAAAATCAAGAATATTCCAAGTTAAGTTATATTTGGTGGTTACATTGATCAACTTTTACAAACCAGCATGTTGTGGTCAGTGTCATTCACCTGTCTGGAGAGCCCATCATGCCAGGTGTGATGTGCAGACACTGAGGGGTCTTCACTTCAGGGTAAACCCTTGACATGGGGGACAGGGGCTCCAAGTCCGACATTGTGAACTCGTGTTCCTCACTCGGACACATAGAGGGCATCTGTCCAGAGAGATGGACAAAATGAGAACAATAAGTGCCACATCCTGTATAGTGTCATTAATCATTAGATGGAGACTCCCTCCTGACATCACGGTAAAGAGACGAACCTCAAAGCGTTTGTTCTGCATGTACGCGGAGCTGAAAACGTCATCTACATTCTCTCTGGGCATGGCCTCCAGGAACTGTCGCACTTGCTGCTTCCTCCTTAAGGTTCCCACTCGAGCAGATATTACAGGACAATCTGTAACTGGACGCACAATGATGGTTTATGATATTTTTATTTACAGATTTTAAATATAAAAAGTTCAGACTTCTCACTACATCCATTTATTTTTCTTAGGCTTCTGTTATAATCATTTGTTAATTGTTTCAGAAAATTGTTTTTCAGAAAAGTGTATATGAGTCAAATACATTAAAGTATAACTTTGTTCACAATACATCTTTTGCTAAACGACTGTAACCTCTTCCTGCTAATTTGTCTCTTTTACTAACAAAAGGGACATTTCTCTACCTGGATCTTTTGGCGCCTCCACTTTTTCCTTCCTGGGTTTCTTGTCTTTCTTGGCGGGCGTCTGCGATGCTCCCTGGGACGTGTGCTGACTGTGACACTCCTCTGCAGAACGCGTTTCTACCATCTTTGCCACCTTTGCCCAGTAACCGGACATGTGCTTCGGATAGTAGGACACAGCCCTGGAAAACAAATGCATACATGTACATGCATCAATGAGGTTATGATTCAGACATGTGTTTCACTAATGCTGCACAAAGAAAAGAAAAAAATAACATACTCTTGCAGCTTCATGAGCTCTGCTTCAGTCCACTCGTCTTCATCTTGCTCTGCTGGAGGAACGACTGTGCTGCCTTTGTTCGCCTTGTGTTTCCTGCTGGAATGCGTCGACTTGGGCAACGGCTTTGTTGGTGGTGAGATTTTGCTGCATTTGCTCTGTTTAAGTTTTGTTTGTGCTGTTTTGGTGTTTTTCGTTGCAGCGCCTCTCTTCCTCTGTTCTTTCCCGCTCTCCTCAGAAGACTCTGATGACTGCAGCGACTGAGACCCTCGGCTTGGCTGTGACTTGTTGAGACCTTTCCTTCCAGTCGTCCCGTATACTCCTTTACCTTCCTTCTTTCGCTTAGTAGAAAAGTCGTCACCTGGAAACCGTGGCTGTGATGTGTCATCATGAACAGTGGGAGATTCTGGGGCTGCTGCGAGAGTCTGTTTACCCCTCCTCTCTGACGACCTGCTGGTCTCACGTGTCTGTTTTTTCGTCCTCTGTGTTGTTGCCTTTACAGGCTTCTTTTGCTTTTGAGGGACAGTGTCCACATTCACCGTTTTTTCAGTGGGTGAACTCCTGCTATGAGACCTCGTTGTTCTGCTAGACCACTCCTCAGGACTTGTTATCGTCTCCACAGAAGGTTCAGCTGGATTAGAGGGCCTCTCATCACGGCTGACCTTGGCTCGGTTGCGTTTGCGGAGCGGAGCCTTGACCTTCCTCGCTGGTGCCGGTGCCTCTTCATCACTGGATGTTTCACTTTGTTTTTTATGGCCTGGAAACAAAGACAACAGTTTGTTTGCCTGCAACCAATAAGTTATCTCACGGTGCTACACCCACATCATATCACTTATCTTCACCTTCAGTGCAGGGCAGGAACACACGGGCCGGCTTCTGTGACTTCCTCGCAGACACCGTTGTAGTGACCTCCTGTGAGATACAGGAATTAAACATTGCCCCCATAACAACTGGACCTCACCAGTAAAAAAATACATGCTTGATTATCATGTGACCTATATGGGCTCAACTTGAGATGCTTACAGGAACGCAGATGGAGGTATCATAACATTCATGAATGGTAACATTCATGTGTGCATCCAGAATGACTCTCCCTCCTCTCCAATACTCCAGAGGTGGCTTTATCACCCGACCACTTCGAGAGGTTTTGGTGGAAGAAAAAGAGGAGAGGGCAGGAGGACAGGATTCAGCTGGAAGACAGGAGAAAACAGAAAAATTACTTTAGCATGACTGACTGGATATAAACTGGGGGAAATATGTTTCTCTTGTACTCACGTGTCTTGAAATTCTTCTGTCTGTTCCGCTTTGCAGACCTATTGGAGGATGCCTCGCATCTTGTCTTGGCTATGATGGATTTCCCTTCACTGGTTCTCTCCGCTTCTCTGCAGCAAAACACAATTCCGACCACTTAACAGTCATTTCATCTTAAAGGATTATTTTACTCAGCAAAAATAAAACCATCATGCATCTGTAAAAGCACGGATGCAGCCTCTTCTTCAAAGGGTGTCTTGCAATGAAATAAGCTTTCTTACTCGGACAGAGACTTCTCATAAAGCGATTTCCAGTTTGGAGGGAAGCCATCAACAAACTTCTTCATAAGCCATTTGGGAAACCCTGCAGCCAAAAAGTAAAAGAGGAAAGAAAAACAATATTAACCAAACAATGAAGCAATACTATAAATAAAATCTGCATAGATATAGACACAGGTTTGATGTCTTATGTATGTTTAACTTCTTTCTCCCCATAAATGACGTACCTGAGTTGACGCTGAAGTTCATCTTGCCAACCAAAACATAAACCCTACCAGAGACGGTCTTCACCACAGAATTAGAAACTCTGTCGACAATGATGTTACTGTTCCATGGCACGTTTTCCTGGCTGTGTTGGAAAGTTGAATGACAAAATCAATGATGATATATTTTGGTTATATAGTGATAGAGCATTTAATAAATATGTAATTGTAATGTCTCATGATTCAAACACTTACCTGTGGATTCCATCAAGAAATAGGCCCTTTTGACTATTTCTCAAGAACCATTTCTTAAGATAAATGACACTCTCCTGCAAAAGAGGGAAAAACAAGCCTGATAAGCAAAATAAAACTGTCCAGAAGACAAGCAGTTTTCGCACGTCTTCTAAAAATAAGATCAGTCATCCGATTTTTCATGTTCAATCAACATAAGACTGTCTTCAAACCTAAGTTAGGATTGTTTGTATATTTAGACCAGTTTCTACTCACATTTGGGAATTGTGTGCGCTGCGGCCATTTGTTGCACTTGAACACAGCCTGGTTTTTCTTAGGGATGGAGATCTTTGGCGAATTAAGTACGAGCGGGTCTTCAAGCAAAACCGGTTGTGGCGTAGCAGCAGGGATCGGGACATTTTCTGTCGAGTCTGATTGGCTGTCAGCTGACTCATCTCTGGAGCGGCTGTCAGGAACCGCACTTTCTGGAAACCTTGTAAAGGCAGTGTCCTCAGTTTCATCCATATTGTGATGTGATGTGGGAGGAGGTGAGTCTCTGGCCTGATTGAAATAATTACCTATAGAAAAAGAGGAAGTTGTAATATAAACAAAGCTATGTGAAGAACTATGCCTAACGTACGTAAAGAAACATTATAATTCTACTACCTCCATAGAGGATGTTATGTTTTGTTAACAGGATGACGCCAAAACTACAGATCCTGGTGACAGAATTCATACATTTTTAGAAGATATTTATGTGTGTGTGCAATTTGGTGCAGATCCAAATTTTCATGAGGGGAATGTTGGGCCTTGTCGGAGGAATGCGCTCTACTGAGTGACATTCTAGTATGTAATACCCTCACTGAAGAGTTCCCTGGTGCTGGTGCTGACTTTGTGAACCATCGGATGCTCCCGTTTGTTTTCCCTCTCCTTCATGTGAGCAAACAGCTTGGCCGGCGACATCGGAGGATATCTTTCCATCCTAACACAGGCACCTGATCAAACGAGCAAAACCAAAAAGAGACATCATTCATTTTCTTCCCCTAACATTTGACACAAGAAGAGTCCCATTAGGACAAAGCAGCATCAATAATCTCACGTTTTAAAGCGGTGGATCTTGGTGGTAGGAACAAGGGGGCATGAGTCGCCTGGTTCATCTCAGCAGGGAAACCTCTGACACCCCCCTCATCCTCCCTGCGACTCTTGCTGTGGATGCTGTCCTCACTGATGAAAGCAGTGGATGTTTTCCTTTCCTGTAGCTGACTCCTTACATCAGCCCTGGCCTCCTTTCTGCTGCTGACCTCGCTGAACTCCTGCTGCTCCCCCTTTCTCTTCCTGAGCCTCTTCTCCAGGGGGGATTCCATTTTGGCAGGGGAGCAGAGACTGCGGCGGGGGTCCTTCTCATACACACCCCTCACACAGCCACCCTCTACTGGCTGAGTCTCTGCCGGAGTCCTGCTGGACACCGGGACACCATCTGAGGTGTGAGGTGGGTCTCTGTTACCCAGAGACAGGGGGTGAGACACGGCTGTGGACTCCAGGAAACCTCTCTTTGATGGCGTGTGTTCGTTTCTGAACATGAAGGCGTGTCCCGTCTCGGCCACGCGAGAGGTTTCCTCCACACGGCCGCAGTTTGAAAACGAGTAGCCAAAGTTTTTCTGAGGAGTGGAAATGGGCGACAGGGTCAGAGCTTGAACTTCCCTGCGGTGAAGATTGGGGTTCTCCTTGAGCTCCTCGGTCAGGCGGAAGTTCTCCTCTCTGCTGAAGTCTCCTCCATGTTTCGCTCTGACGCTACGCGGCGGCTCCCTCGCGCACATCGCTTCTCTCTGAACTTTAGATTTAAGTTTGGCGAAAACTTTGGCGGGAGATTCAACCCGCGGCTGTTTGTGTTGCAGCAAATAATGAAATGAAGCCATCGCGTCCGAGCTCACAGGTTATTACACATCCGACACGTATGCTAACTGCTAGCGGCTAGCCCCCGAGATTTCAAATTTTCTCACCACTGCCGCTTTTGGCTAAAACCCCGTGACGCACTTCCAACAACAACTACGTCATTTCCGCCAGTGTGAACAGTTTTTGGCCTGTTATGTTTTATGTTAAGGATTTAGGTTGAAATTTGCTTTAGAAATAAACTTATTTTTTTCATTAATTCATTGAGTGATGTATGGCTTGTACAGGTTCGACACACTTTTCAATCATACAAGAATAATGATGTAAAAAAAAAAGTGCATTTAAAACATTAAACAATAGAAACATATTTAAGAACATTTATAAATATTATTAAAAAGAAAAACCTAATATGATAAATAATCGTATTAATAAAGAAGAAGAATGTTCAGGTGTGACATCCTTATGAAATTAATTAATACAATTCTACATAAAAAGCAATAATATATATGATTCCTTCGTCCGTCAAACTTCATGCATCCATTTATTGTTTATTTTTCGCAGATCTTTTCCAGAACCACAAAATGCGCCAACACCTGTTTTCCCACATCCTTATTAATGGCATATAATTGATCTATACAGCATTAATAAATCATCTATTTACAAATTGCAGAGCAAATAATTACTTTAGCAGTGGGTGTTGAAAAATATAACCATTAATAATAATGTAGAACTCACAGGGCCTATATTCCTGCTTTTACTTTTGATATGTGCATCGGGTTGTTAACACTTTTATATGCTCGTTACAATTTGAACATAAGACTTCAAAGTTGTCAAACATATCTCAAAACATACAAAAGTAGATTTGGAGCAAATACTTAAAGACACACACTGAACCTCTGAAAAAGGGGACATGAATCAAAATAACAAGAATGTACACATGGCTTTATAAAACGTCTTTGCTTTGCCACTGTGCATTTTCCTCAGTGATAAACCAAATATGTATGAAAGTCATGTGTGAACCAATCAGGGTCACTGTATTTACTACAGAGAATATAATAAACATAAGGATGATCATGTCAGTAGTGTAAGAGTTTGATGAATGTAGATTGTCCTGTTGAAAAAGGATCTGGGAATTAAAACAGGCAGCTGGTTCCTCCATGTCTAAAAAGTGTGTTTGATGTAATTAACGTTTTGACCTGCGGGGGGCAGTGATACACCTACAACACGTACTGAAGGAGTAGACAAAAGAAGAAGAAGAATGGTACTGCGCATGCTCAGAACTCAGTGGCTGAGAACTGTCAGGTTGGATTTAAGACGGACGTGTTAGAGGACAGTCTTAGAGGAGAGTGGACTTCAGCAGAAGAGTTTGTATTTTATTGTTTAATATAAAGTTCCGACGCGGGAGATTCACAGCAGGGGGTTCGGATTATAGATTCATCTAAACAGGAAGTGTAGTTGTGTTGTTTACAAACTCCTGAGTCTGAAGTGATGCAACATGGCAGCTGCTGCTGTCAATAGGTGTTTTCTCTCCGCGCTCAGGACAAACACACGGTGTCAGAGCCGAGGACTTCGCTCTGTGGCCGGGAGGACAGTGAGCCCGACGTCCTCTGGTCCTCCATGTGACCACAGGGGAGCAGACAGAGACACGAGGCCGGACAGGTTCGCTCCTGGCTGGGACAGGAGGAGCAGCAGGTTCGCTCCTCTGCTCGGGTCAGTGTCTGTGGCTCTGGGGCTGTGGGGTCTGCTGGACACACAGGAGGAGGAAACAGACAGAGGAGGGCCAGTGTCCAGCTGGTTTATGGATCACATCCTGCCATCAGCCCACTGTGCGTCCCCCTTCAAACCTGACAGCCCCCGGTACAAATACAACTTTATTGCAGATGTGGTGGAGAAGTCTAGTCCCGCTGTGGTGTACATTGAAATCGTTGGCAGGTGAGTTGTCTGAGAAGCAGGTATGAGAACATTTCTGAACATGTGTTATTCTGTGCAGAAAGAGTTCACAGTTATTTGATTTATTTTCAAGATATACAAAAATCAGAGCACAGCTTTGAAATTGATAAATGAGGGAATTTGATTATCGTAATAATACATAGAAGCCTCAGATTCATTGTTTAGCACCCTGTTTGTGGTCATGTGACAACTGTCTTTGTTTGTGCTCCACTAAATCACATGATAAAATATTATAGGAGGCCATTAGCTGGGTCATTCATACCTGATCTTACTGAAGCTGCCTGTTTGTTCTCTGCATTTGGAGTCAAATGCCAAAATAATGTTCTCCTCTCTGTGTAGATTCACCTAAATAATGCAGTTTTGTTCCAGTCTGGATCAGATTAACTGTATTTTCTGTTTTTCAGACACCCGTTTTCAGGAAGAGAAGTCCCAGTGTCAAATGGCTCTGGGTTCATTATCAGCAGTGATGGTCTCATTGTCACCAATGCCCACGTTGTGGCCAACAAGAGGGGCGTCTGCGTGAAGCTCAACAACGGAGAGATGTACAACGCCACCGTGCAGGACGTTGATCCAGTGGCAGACATCGCCACCATCAAAATCACGGCAAAAGTAGGCACAAGCTACAAAACATCTACTGAAGGGACTATATGTTTAGTTTTTATTTTACTGAGACTTCATTAGCTTCCATTTTAGTGGCTGGAATGAGGTCCTCACAATAACACACAGTCAGAGACTGAATTAGAAAATGAAAAGTGAAAGTAAAACTAGACCGGCACTTAGTAAAGTGCACACCTCTGCTGGGTAACAATCCTACATGTGATTTTTTTCTGGCCCAATCCCACAACCAAGTTTGGTAGAAATCAGTTTAGTAGATTTTGTTGATGCTGCTGACAAATAAACCATCAAACAAACCAGCCAACAAATCAACAGACACAGGAGAGAACGTAACCTTCTTGGCAGAGGTGACAAAATCAAGATAAAGGTTTTACTAACTAATGGTTAACAATAAAACTTCAGAGGATTAGTAATTACACATTCAGAATACCTTCAAACTTTACTGCTTCATTTGTCAGGGACTGGGTATATTAATAACATTTCTGTAAAGTTTGCCACAGAGGCAAATTTTCCTCTGTAGTCTCTGGGCAGGCAATAAAAGTGCCTAAACATTATATGACTTTATTGTGAGATAATATTCAGACTTTGTTCTGGTGCTTTTGCGATTATTATTATCTCATTTCCTTATGAGAATAACCAAACTGTGACTGATGCATCTTTTTAAAGAACGGAAACAACAACATGTGAAAGCTCATGAATCGTCCTCTTTTTGTCTCCTCAGTAAGTCTTGAATAAAGTCATCATCTTTATTCAGAGGCCTTTTTGTTGATGTTTATTATTGGCACTGATGAAATAAGAACTGATGTCAACATCTGTATTTTGGAGCAGGACAGTCAAATGATCGATTGGATCATGTAAGTGACCCATGAGCTGTGAGGATGTCCTGTTAAACTCTGCTTTCCTCTCCCCTGTCTTGCAGAATCCTTTACCCACACTCACGCTTGGCAAATCATCTGGCGTTCGACAGGGAGAGTTCGTGGTGGCCATGGGAAGCCCGTTTGCGTTACGGAATACAATCACGTCGGGAATCGTCAGCTCAGTGCAGAGAGGCAGTAAAGAGCTGGGCCTGTCCAACTCGAACATGGACTACATACAAACAGATGCAACCATTGATGTGAGTATAAGGGATATAGATGGATCTGTATTCATTTAGTGACAGTGTGTAATTCTCTTCTGGTTTACGTATGACCCATTTCAAGAAAAAGGAATTTTTACAAACATCACGAGTAGAAAAGTGAATCAGGAACAAATGAGCGTGCTGAGTGAATTTGCTGGGACTTCTTCTCATATCATGCTCCTTTAACGTCAACTGTGACTGATTTGTTTTGCAGTTTGGAAATTCTGGAGGTCCCCTGATTAATCTGGTGAGTCAGTTTTCACATCCTGCAGTCGTCAGCAAACCTGTTCTGACGACTGCAGTGTTTGTTTGTAGGCACAGGGATTTTCACTGTTAGATTTAATCTGTTAATGTGTTTAGATATGATCATGTGTTGATTACAAACTGTTGACTCTGATGGCTTGAGTGTGAGAATGATAAAACATTTGGTTTAAAAATCACTCCATAATAAATGTCTCTACTTTTTTATTTTATTTTAAGAGTGGCATTATTTGACCTTGACAGCTAATTAAAATACAGGTTAATCACTTCTTATTTCAATGTATTACCTCTTCTCTTATTTAGGATGGTGAAGTCATCGGTATAAACACCATGAAGGTCACTGCAGGGATCTCCTTTGCTATTCCGTCCGATCACCTCAGAGGTTTCCTTGATAAAGCAGCAAAAAGAAAGAGTAAGAACAGACACCACATCCTCTTCTTTCTGTCCTCCATGTTCTCTGTAGCCTCCAGCTGTTCCATCGTGTTGAGGATTTATTTTTACACAGTTTATGTCCATCTTCTACAAGGTTCCAGGTTTGATGAGTCAGATATGAAGCGGCGATACATCGGTGTGATGATGCTGACGCTGACGCCGAAGTAAGTGCCTCATGCTCAGAACTGTCCCGCAGTAAAAGTGTTGTTACATCAGAGTTATGTCTGAAACCACATTTCTGTTTTTTACCTTTACCTCAGTATCATTGCTGAGTTGAAGCTAAGAGACCCGTCCTTCCCTGAGGTGACACATGGCATCCTGATTCACAGAGTCATCATAGGCTCCCCAGCCAACAGGTAAGCAGACAAAGCTTCTGTGTGAGTGGAGGAGTGGTGCTTCTTGTTTTTGGGCCTGAAATTCTTCTCTGATCTATCAGGGTTTTAGTGTTGAAGTTTATTTAATACACTGAAGAGCCTTAATTACACACATTAATAACTAGAATGACACTCAGTAGAGAAAATACCTCTGCCAAGGCCCAATATTCAAGATCCATGACCTGGGAAAATGAAAAAAAGCAAACTTGGATTTGCACTCACTGACCCATACCCAATCCTTTCATCCAAGTTTCGTGGTAATCTTTTCAGTTGCTCACAAACAAACCAATCAATACAAATGGACAGGGGTGACAACAGCCTCTTTGGCAGATGTAAAAAACAAAAAATGCATGAATGAAGTATTTTAATCACCTTTTGAATTTGTTGACAGTTAGATGTCAGAACGCACAACATGCAGAATTATGATTAATGTGATTTATCCTGCAAGTTTTGGAAAACTAAACATCAACAACGTATTTGTTTCAGAGCGGGCATGCTACCTGGAGATGTGGTGGTGGAGCTTAATGGAGTGAAGGTGAACACGGCGGAGGAGATCTACCAGGCCGTACGCAGCAGCGACAAAATCACCATGATGGTGCAGAGGAGAGACGAACTGCTTCGACTGCAAATGACTCCCGAGTACACAGAGTGACACTTGTTACCACTGTTTGGCCAGATTATTTGATTGTTACATAAATATTTCATGTTTGCAAGAGAAGAAAACTGATGGTAATGTGTGACTGTTCTCCAGACTTGGAAACATTTTAATGCAAATGAAAAAAGACTACTGATCGACTGCAGTATCACTTAAATGATTTCATGTTTTCTTGACATGGCTGGGAACCACATAATGATTATAATGTTCATTTGTCAAATATTAACAGCTTGAATCAGGGTGAACCTGCCAGTATCTTTAGATGCAGAAACAGTCCAGTATTTAGTCTCAGGTTTTTCCTCAGCACATTGAGCAAAGCGTGATTTCTACCTCTACAAAGTTTTACTACTTACTTGGTAGAGCGTGGGCACCTGTGGCTCAGGAGGTGGAGTGGGTCGTCACATTAACCCTGAAGGTTGATGATTTAAGCCAAAGCTCCTCTATTCTACATTCTGAGGTGCTGTTGGGCTGCTGAACCTTTAAATCCCATGTGCAATAGAAAAGCAATGAGTGTTTATGAAGACTAGAAAAAGGCTGTATTTACTCAGAAAACTAGTCAGTGTCCTTTTGTAACTTGTGTGTCTACGACCTAAATTACAGTGTTTGTATAGTAAGTTAATGAAACCTGAAACCATGTACTTTATTAAAGCCATTTAATTTTTGACAGCAACAAGAAGCATGAGAGACGACATTATGTCATGGAGCAATCGTCTTAAACTGACTATCATTAACTGAGCAAGTCAAACAACTCACCAATGCTATGATGACAATGATCACACAAGTAAAATTGGGAATTGCTGAGATTCCACTTGATTAAAAGACAGTTTTGAGTATGTCACGCACAGTAAAAACCAAAAACATGAAGTTACTCCATGTTGAGAGAAAAAAATTATCCTCAATGATGAGAAGTAAAAAGGAAAGTTGAAGAGAAAACTGTTTTCATTTTGAGAGAACGAGTCGAAGCTGTGAAGCCACTGAGCAGATTAAAATGTCCCTGGTATATGTACAGTAACACACACTTACAGTAAAGTAATAAAGTGACATGTACTGGACTGCTACACAATTAAAAGTATTTATCTCAAAGACTCAGCTATTAAATGAAGATAACATTCAAACAATATTTTCATACATTTCGACTAAGGACATCTTGGTAGGTACAAGTACTACAACATACAAGTATGGGAAGAAAAAAATAAAATTGTTCAAATCCCATTAAAACTACTTTTAAAAAGACTTAATATATATTGCTGGTAATATTTTTCTTTTTAAGAAAATATAAATTGTGCGACTGAAGCTTACAATACACTGCTGGCAGTAGCGCCAGGTTCTGTGATGACCTGCTGGAAAAGGGTCATCTGTCGAGGCGCTGTGTGCTGAGAGACTCCCCGGTAGAGAGTAACAAACAAACAATCAAACAAAAAAAAAAAACGAGTGGACATCTCATGATGCCTGAATCCCTTGCACCAAAACCCAGATGCTGCTATGGTGTTTGTCACGGTGGAATGCTGCGGATATCACATGATGTGCACAAACAGCAGCCAAACTAGATTCAAACTCATATAGATACTTAAATAAGGGGGGGTGGGTGAGGCAGGTATGGGTGGGGCGGGCGGGGGTCTTGGAAAGGGAGTGACGGTGTGAGGGAGATAATTGTAGTGTCCAGTCTAGTCCAGCAGTGAGCAGGCTAAGCATCGACTCAGTTTACGTGGTCCAGTGCGCGCAACAGCTCCTCCCCCTGCAGCAGGTACTGACGGCCCTGCAGGGGGGCGTTGACCTCGCAGTCGTAGCGGGTGAGCTGCGGCAGGCTGATAAGAGAACTGGTGTCCTCTGACGTGCTGCCCAGCAGACAAGTTGTCAAGTCTAACAGAGAGAAACAAATGAGTAATGAGTGTCCTGATGACTATATTTAGGCAACAGTCTCACAAAACTAGTTTATTCACCTGAAGGCAGCAGGAAAATGGTGGTGGTGGTTGTTTTTCCGGAGGCTTTCCGCTTCTTTCCTTGCACCAATGGTTCCTCCAGCAAATTTCCCTTAAAAAAATCATCAAGAACAGATATTAAAACTCTACAAAGTCTACAGTCTACAAATGTAAAATGTTCCTAATAACTTATGATTGGATGTTCAGAACTTACTTGTCCAATCATCTCCCTTATGTCTCCCAGTTTTCTTTTGCGCTGTGCGTTCTGAGCCGCCAGAGTTCTGAGTGAGACTTCTTGGTCCAACTGTGGAGTCCTGCAGCACACATAGTTTGTGAGGGGGGGTTGTTTGGGTCTGTTTTCTTCCTTCTTTTATACCCATGACCCTCTTGGTGGAGGGGCAGTCTCCCATTATGCCAATACTGTTGTTGACTGGCATTTTCTTTTTGTCACTTTGTGTAGCGGGTGTTTTATATTTGTTGTGTGTATGTTTACTTTATTGTGAAAAAGTAAAAAGGTGATAATGATATAGTGTGTTGTAGAGACTTTACCTCTTAGCGATGATGGTGGCGAGATGAGCAGCGCTTACACGCTCAAGTGGTGCCGGGGAAGCTGTGCTACTTCCTACTTCGCTGAATGGGGAGCTAGGGTAGCTGTCGACTTCCGGTGTGACTTGGACTGGAGAACTCTTGAGGGACTTGACTTGTCCACAGGTCAGAGGCTCTTCTGGGGTCAGACTGCGCAGCTGGAAGTCATCATCCATGGGGATGTAGGGCGCTAACATCTCCAGATCCAAGTCTTCCATCGCCTTAAAGGGAGAAAAAAAAAAAAGAACAACACATTTAGACTGAGACGTTTTCACTGTATTAGACCCACGATGAACTGGATTTAAATGCAGTAAAATCTACTGTGACTCCTGACAATATTACCTGTGTGTTGAAGGGGGTCTTGGGCTCTGTGTCAATGGCAAATAGCCTCTCCACCAAATCTAGTTTGAAGTCTGAGCTCATATCTGAGTCCATGGGGAAACAGAAGTCCATTGGACTGTCACCCTGAAGAGAAGAGATGTCAAAGGTCATTAACGTCTCAGTGCATATTAGAAAATGGGCAAAAAACGTGTATAGTTTATAATGTAAAATAACTGCAGTTCACTGAGTCTTACCTCTGAGGAGCTGTGGCAGGTTATTGTAGTGGACGGAGCTGGAGCATAGCTCTCAGCTTTAGATTCCTCACTTTTGAATCCTCCTCTGGTGTTGAGAGGCTCGCTGGGCGGCAGGGGGGAGAGAGGCAGAGCCAGCTTCTCACTCGAGGAGGGAAGCATTACATCATTGTAGAGAGGGACGTCCTTCAGCAGCTGCATCTCTGAAACTGTACCTGAGGAGAGAAGGTGGTTAGAATGGTTTCAGTTAGATAAAGATTGTGGTTTATCTTGTGGGGAAGCGTGTGCCACGGACCTGGGCAGCTAAAGTCCAGGGAGATAATTGTGTCTCCTGCAGCCGGGGCCAGCAGGGTGAGGGCCTCAGGCTTTTCCTTCAGCTGGTCGTAGAGGCTCGCCAGTGGCCGGGCCTCGACCGCCTGGGTGAAGAGTTTGATCACATCAGGCTCTGGGCCTTTTTCCGCTGCCTCCTCCTCCTCCTTCGCAGCCTCCTCCTCTTCCTCCTCCTCTTCCTCCTTCAGCAGAGTTGGTGACATGTCAGGCGAGCTGCTCTCGACTACAACCATTTCTTCCTCCTCCTGCTGCTGCTGCTGCTTCTGCTCTTTCTTCACCAGCTTCACATCCTCAGTCTGCTCCAGAGACAAGATCAGCTTCTCCTCCTGGATACCACTGGTGTGTAGGACGAAGACAAAGTTAAGCAGGTGTAAGATGGAGTTTACTGAGGACCTTGTAGGTCAGTTAGAAACAGAATTTCAAACACTTTATGGATAAAACTACAATTGTCCACATCATCATGGTGGATATTAGCTGTCTCTTAACTTTTAAACAACCAAACAGAAAGTGACTCTTCTGTACCTGAGCACAAAGTTGACACAGACAACACACTGTGGTTGGGAGTTCTTGTTGTTGTAGATGACAGTGGCTTGGGTTTCCACCCACACAAAGCCTCCTCTCTTAGCCAACATCCGGTATTGTCCTGTGCTGACCTGGCCCTTTACAAACACTAAGGGCAAAAAAAAAAAAAAACCATCTTGTAGACGATCTGAGGGAGTAATAACAATCAGATGCAATTCAAAAACTAGTAAAGTCATTTGAGTATTTATGGGCAAAAAAAAAAAAAAAAGACCAAAAGGTGACAATTAAAATATTGATTTTGGCATATGGTAAAAAGTTTGTCGACAAAAGCATAGCTTGAATATGTTAGAAAAAAATTCTAAGATTCATACTTACAGTTATGGTGAGTCTTGGTGAGATGGTCAGAGTCCAGAGCGTGATAGTACTCGTACACAGAACGATTCAAAAGGTCTTCTGGATCATAACCCATGAGCTCAGTGATCCTGGAGAAGCAAAGAAGATGAATTATTTCACTGACTCGCTAAATAAACGTAGAGATCACCTCCTGTAGTATCTACATTGAACACTAGGTGGCTCTGTACAACTGTGGGGATGAAAACAGCTCATCACAGAAAAGTACAAAACCAGTGGTTTAAGAAACTGATTGTAATAAGTGTATATGTATAAAATTCCCTCTGATGAACACACTAACCTCTCATCACAATACGTGAACTTCATGTCCATCGTGTGGCGGCTGAGAAAGGTCTTGGTGTCCAGAGGGACCTCGATGTTGGAGGGGTGGGGGACGGGGTCACAGATCAAAACCAGGTAGGGGACAGGTGGCTCCTTCAGTCCATTAGTAGTCTGTTCAGTGTGAGGGTCATAAACACGAACATGACCTGAGCAGTGGAGAACCTGGGGAGAGATGACGGGATTGCCGGCAGTGGTTTAGAACAAATAAGTGCATTTACTTAAAGGAATTAAGTTCCTCAAATGTTTTGTGTTTAATAATTATAGAGAATTATGATAACCTGCCTATGAAGTTTACTTTATTATACTAACATATAAATGTGTGAATATTGATATGTAGATATTATATGTATCTATATACAGGTGTATGTGTGGGTGCAAATCTGTGTCAAATATTGATTTATATGTAAAGTAGTATGGTATTAATGTACATTTGTGCATGGATGCATTTGTGAAGATCATGATGAAGTCATTATCCAATATGGCGATTCCTGTTGTCTTTTTTTTCTTTGTCTTACAATGGGAAGTTTTTTATTAATAATCTGTCTCGCTTGTATATTTCTCATATGATCTTTACATATAAAAACAAATTTATAAACGAAAAGATATGACATGACCCACAATCCCAAAAGAAGGCATCCAATCTATTTTACAAAAATGGTTACTATTAGGGCTGATGCATTTCCTCAATGATTCTACTGTGACTCACCTTCCATGTTGCTGACTTGACATTGACAGTGCGGCCCCTGCTCGTCAGAGTGCATTTCATTCGGAGGAAGAAGCTGCGCTCTGTGTTTGACTCCTTGGTCTTTTTAGAGCCTGAACCCACAAGAGGAGAAAGAACATTTAAAGACACATTTAAAAAAAGTTGGTGTGTGGACAAACATTTGGCTCAATGTCTTTGTTTTATCATAAACATTTGCCTTCTACCAACATTTTGTATTTGCATTAAGGGGAAGCATTAAGGGTTAAAGCTTTTATTCTGTGGTGAGCAACTGCAGGTTAAATAAAAGAAGAGGAGTCACCAGCTGTCACACACTGCAATCACTCTGACCTCGGCACCAGAGAAAATAAAAGGTCCCAACAGCTTCCTTGTCTGAACCTGCCAGCTCAGAGTGAACTCAATTCCCTGCTGACGAGCACTTGTGTGTGTCTTCTAGAGGTATTGTATAATATGACGCTGCTCAGTAGTGTTGTCTCTCACCTGTTCTGTGGATGAGCATCTCCCGCAGCTCCTCCTGGTCACAGGGATGTGTAAAGTCAAACACGCTGTGTCCAGTCAGGTCAAACTGCAGCGGACAGAGTGAGCATAGAATTTAGGTTCTCTTACCACTTACATGTACAGCGATTTGTGTATTCACTTTTCCATGTGGGCACTGTTGAAACATATCTATAAAAATGTAACATTGAAAGCATACGTTTTTGGGCTTTAGCTTGACTTCGTTTTTTCCTATGCAGATAAACAGCAGATTAAATCTGACTAACCTGTGCCAGCCCGAGGCATTTGTTGACATTCTCAGAGAGATAAATGATATCTCCATCTTCAGACAGCACTATGAGGAAGCCATCCAGAGCTTTAAGGTAGGAGCTGTTCAGCTGGATATCCAGCTCAGTTTCCTCTTCTGCCACTGGCTCATCTGGAAGTGATAACAGAGAGGGAGAGAGGAAAGTAGAGACAGAGACAAAAAGGAAAAGGAAATCAGGCTCAGAACATCATCAAAGAGACTGTTGATGAACATCTAAAAACATATTTGCAGGGCAA